TATCTTAAATACAAGAGTAGTGCATCTTAAGCTATTCATAAAATCCAATGCACTTAATATCAAACTGTTACTTCCACAGGGAAATGAAACGCGAAATCTGCACCTTATTCATGAGTTACAGGTAGAATATTGGTGCGACGATAAAATTGCCAGCCAGTCGTCTTCTACCTACAGTTACCACCTTCATTGTTAGATTTCATAAAGAGAAAGAAAGAGAAAACGAAGAAAGGAGAAATGGAAGATAGACGATAGTGTTGCTGTGTGGGCTTAGCTGGACCAGGCGGTTTTAACGGAGGTCAAACTCCCACCATCACTGTGTCAGAGTCTCTCAACTTCCCATTTTAATTCATCCCTCTGCCCTACAAACCACACACCATTGCATTTTCTTGCTCTTTCTCTCTCCATTTCTTTCTTTTTCTCATTCCTACCATTTTCCTTCGTTCTTTAATTTTTCTGTTTTTCTAGGAGGGTGCTTCTCAATCGCGAATCGTGGGTTCTTTCTTTAGTCTCCGAGCGCCAAAGCTTGATGCTCACTCCATAAATTTTATTTTCTCGTAGCAACTTTTGATTTTTTTTTTTTTTCAGTTTCCTCAAATTCAAAACTTCCGTCTTCCCCTGTCTTCAGTCAGAAACAGAGAAAAGAATAGGTAGGGAAAGAGCAGAGATACATTGAAGACCAGGCATTTTTTTCTTGAGGTACGAGCTTGTTCTTTCTTTTTGCCTTCCTCTTGTTAGAGAGACAGAAATGTCTTATCCTGTATTACGTTCCTCTAATTGTTATTGCAGACGATCATATGCACGCAAAAGTCATGCGTAGTTGAGCAAGATGAGAATGTTTGGATCTTGAGACATGGTGGATCACCGGCGAAACATATTGTCTCTTGGGTTCCTGTTCTTGTTGCTTTTTCAGTTCACATTTGAGCAGCTTGAGCCTCTGAGTTCACCCGCAGAGAGACTCGCCCTACTTCAGCTTCGATCTTCCTTGGGCTTGAGAAGCAGGGAATGGCCAATAAAAGCCGACCCTTGCTTAATCTGGAATGGCATACGCTGTGAGAATGGTAGAGTCACTGGCGTCAATATTTCTGGGTTTAGAAGAACAAGACTTGGCAGGCAAAACCCACAATTCTCTGTCGACGCTTTAGCCAATTTGACTTTCCTGCAATCCTTCAATGCGTCCAAGTTTCTTCTTCCTGGTCCTGTTCCTCACTGGTTTGGCCAAAAGCTTTCTTCACTCAAAGTGCTTGATCTTCGTTATTGCTCCATCATTGGTGCAATTCCTTCTACTCTTGGGAATCTAACAAGCCTAACCACTCTCTATTTATCTGATAATAACCTCACTGGAATCATTCCTGATAGTCTAAGTCAACTTGCAGCCCTTTCTGTTCTTGATCTTTCCCGGAATTTTCTCTCAGGATCCTTGCCCGATTCTTTTGCCTTTCTTGGGAATCTTTCTTTCCTCGACATTTCTTCCAACTATTTATCCGGTTCGATTCCCCAAGGCACTGGGGCAATTTCTAAATTACAATACTTGAATCTTTCCAACAATGGCTTAACTTCTTCTATACCTGCTCAACTTGGGGATCTTAGTAACCTAGTTGACCTTGATCTAAGTGATAATTACTTGTTCGGTCTGGTTCCTCCGGATTTAATGGGGTTGAGGAGCTTGCAGAGAATGAAGCTTGGGAACAACATTCTTGATGGACCTTTGCCGGAGAATTCGTTTCATACTACATCGGAGTTGCAGTTCATAGAGCTGAGACAAAATAATTTTACTGGGGCCTTGCCTGATAGGTTGTGGTATCTTCCAAGATTGAGCTTTGTGGATGTCTCCAGCAATAAGTTCACTGGTGTGCTTCCTAGTTCTAGCTCTTCTGCTAATGCTACTCCTACAGTCAAGGGCAATTTTTCTCATAATCTATTTTATGGAAGCATCACTCCTCTGCTCAAAAGGTTCAGTTTCATCGATCTGTCGAGCAATTATTTTGAGGGCAAGGTTCTGGATTTCGCAGTCAATGCATCACTGGGTAGTAACTGCCTGCAAAATGTATCAAATCAAAGGGCAACAGAAGAATGCCTCTCATTCTATTCCAGGAGGGGCCTCTCTTTTCATAATTTTGGGCAAGCAAACATGACAAGACCTCGTGCAGCAGAGAGCTCTGGGAAGAACAATGGAAGAAAATTTATACTAGCAGGAATTTTGGGTGGAGTTGGTTTGATCGCAGTTTTGGTGTTGTTAATTCTGCGCACTCGTAAGCGGAGCAAATCAAATAATACAGGAGCTCGTGTGGGTGCTGCTCTTGCTGGAGGCAATCCTGCACCTACTGATGCATTGATAGAATTATCAAAAGCAGGAGACTCATTTACATATCAGCAATTGCTCAAGGCTACAGGCAACTTCAGTGATGCAAATCTTATCAAACACGGTCACACCGGCGATCTGTTCAATGGTGTTTTGGAAAGTGGGATATCTGTAGTGATAAAAAGGATTGATTTGCGTTCAACTGAAAATGAGAATGCTTACATGTCAGAATTGGACCTTTTCAGTAAAGTTTCTCATCCAAGATTGGTTCCCCTGTTCGGTCATTGCTTAGAAAATGACAAAGAGAAGTTCCTGGTTTATAAACATATGCCAAATGGGGACTTATTGAATTGCATGCGCAACAGAGAAACTACACATAAAGATGGTACATTGCAGTCTTTGGATTGGATAACAAGATTGAAAATTTCTATTGGAACTGCGGAGGCCTTGTGTTTTCTTCATCATGAATGCAATCCACCCTTTGTTCACAGGTCTGGATTTGCCTCTGGCTGAAAGTTGAATCTTTTGTTCTTCCAAAAGACATATAGGGCTTGCATAACATTAGTTTAAGTTAAACAGTATGAGTGGAGTGACTTGTCTGTATTTTGGACACTGCAGGGATATTCAAGCAACCAGTGTACTTCTAGATGATAAATATGAAGTCCGGTTAGGGAGTCTAAGTGAAGCCTGCACTCAGGGAGGGGATACTCATCAAAGGAGAATCTCAAGGTTGCTACGGTTACCCCAGTAAGTATTCTACTAACAACTTTTATTTTTATGAATTTCATTATGTCCGAGAGATCTTTCTTAATATGTTGTTTTCTCTTTGATTTGATCCTTTTGGCTGTTTATTGGAAAATATGATAGAAATGTCATACTACCTGTCAGATTTTACTTCATTGACATGTTTAGACCATGTCACTATAATTTTGGGGTGTTACCCTTCACATCTGTTTCTGATTAATCATTTCCGTCAGCATAGGCTTATGTTTGGTGTGGTGTCATACCTTCTTAGTAAAATTGCATGTAGTTAAAATGTTTGACTCCCTTCATTGTGAGCTTTTTATTAGCTTTGTACTACATTTGCATACGCATAGCATTTGTCATTAAAAATTGTCTAATTTCCCATTTATCTTGCTTGGGCATGCAGGTCATCTGATCAAGGCTCATCAGGTGAGTAGAGTTACTCAATTTAATTGCTGACGTGGATTTGTTAGCAGCTTTTTGTCCTAATTACATGAAGCATTCTCAGTGTATCTAATAATGCCATTTTAAGTAGGCATCTTCCATCATCATATACAGCAAATTTATTAGCTTATTATGCAGCTCTTAAAAGAATCAGATTCATGTCAGTTTCCCTTATCATATAATCATGACGCGCGAGGCTTTGCTCCTTGACTGAGAAAACAGTTCTCTTTTTTTAACACATGCTTCACATATTGTGAAAACAGGTTCATCATCACCAGCAGTTTGTGCCTATGATGTGTATTGCTTTGGGAAAGTATTGCTTGAGATGGTAACTGGGAAGCTAGGAATTGGTGCATCCGGTGATGCACAAGTAAAAGAATGGTTGGAGCAGACACTACCTTACGTTAGTATTTATGACAAGGATCTGGTAACCAAGATTGTGGATCCATCCATGGTTGTCGACGAGGATTTCTTAGAGGAAGTGCGGGCAGTGGCCATCATCGCGAGGTCTTGCCTGAACCCTAAACCTTCGAGACGACCCCAGATGAGATATGTCCTCAAGGCTCTTGAAAACCCACTAAAAGTCATAAGGGAAGAGAGTTACAGTTCTGCAAGGCTGAGAACAACCTCTTCCAGAGGCTCTTGGAATGCTGCTCTGTTTGCCAGTTGGCGTCAGAATTCTGATATAACTGTAGTTCCGGCAGTTTCTGGTTCAAGAGCTGAAGAAGGCCAGCTTTCATCGTCCCGGAGGCGTCGTTCGAATGAGATAGTTCCGGAACCATCTAGCAGCATTCAAGAGGAGGACAAGCTCGAGTAGTACCGGAGGAAGGCTCAAGCCTTTGTACATTTAAGGATGGAGACGAAATTGGAATGCAAATTCTTCTTGTTTTTTTTTTGGGCATTTTCAGTGGTTTTGGACTAAGAAATTCGAGAGGTACAAAGAGGGACACGGTGGATATGGATACTTTTTTTTTTTTTGGCTGCTTGGTGATGTGTAGACGAGCCCCAATTCTTTCACATGTAATTGATTTTTTTCCTTGTTCTGTCTCAAGTCATTTTGTAGAAAATATATTTTTAAATTTTAATTGATTTATCAGATTTTTTTTGGGTTCAACGTTCGCTATCTCTTCATTCATATGCGCCGAGGGTTTCGAAGCTCAAGTTCTTTCTCGTATATTGTTAGTTTGATGCATATTTAACTCGTTTCCATTTTAATAAGAGAACAAAATTTAGAATTACCAAGTCTTCATCATATTTTGTTTCTAAGAACACAGCATCTTTCTATACAAAAATAAAATTGTATTGAAAGAGTTATCTTTTTTGCATGTTCTATTTGAGTTAAAAATCTGATAATAAGTAATTTAAAAGTTTTATCTGAGTTTTGTGACCCTGCCTTTTAAGATATGAGTTTTGTGACTCTGCCTTTCAAGATATATATCAAATATTTGGAATTCGAGATATTTATACGGCTCCCTGTTCCTTTTTACGCCCTCTCAGGCGGGGTGTTGGGGTCATGCGAGCTTGTTCAATCTTCGCTTTTCTATCTACGAGACCAACGAGACTAACGAAAATTTGATACGCCAAGCCTGAACAGAGCGAAGTAACTGTTTGTCCATTGACACTCACTCTTATCCGTTGCCATCGCCATCTTCGTTCTTCAAAACCTTGGAAATGCTTTCATGTCAAAGATACCAGTTTCGCTCTCCATGCTCTCTCCCTCTCCAGTCCCTCTCCACCCCAACTTTCACCGTTGTCAACTGCCAAAATCCACATGGCCCAGATACCCAGAACCTCATTCTCCGCCAGCAGAACTCCAAATCCACCGCCTTTCTCCTTCACCAACTATCTCCCGACCGAGAAAACCATCATTCCCAGCCATTCAATCTCAAATCCGGTGACCTTCAACACAACATGCCGGATGAAGAAAAGATTAAGCTTTTAGAGCTTTCCCTTGTAAGGAGAAGAACCCCTCAGTTTCCTGGGTCTATCTATGTTCAATCTCCTAGTGATCCTGATGTGGGTTCTTCTTTGCCGCCTCTGCGAACTCTGTTTAGAGAAAAAGTGGAAGATGAAGATGCAGACGAGGAGGAGATAATAATGCGTGCGATTGAGATTCGAAGGAAGGTGACGCGAGAGATTTTTTTGGAAGCTATGAGAAAGGGCAAGTTTGGAATCACGTACGCTACCAATTTGGTCAATCGATTGACTGGTTTTATCGATTACGTCATGATTGAAGCTGCTTCGATGAAACGAATACCTCAGTATTCGCATTCTACTTTCAATTTACGCGCCAAAACTGTCATAGACGACTTACAAGTTGTGCCTCTTATCAGGTAGGAGGGCTACTACTTGGTATGTTTGAGGTTTCTGGCAAGGTGTTTGTTTTCTTGTTTGTATGAAATCAACATGTCTACTTAATGGGATCGAGCATCAACGTCTTTGAATCATTTTGAGAATTTCTTGGTCGGAAAATCATTTTAAGATTTAATTAAGAAAAAAACTTCATGAAGCATATTGAATAAACTAATAATGGGGTCTCTGTATTGTTAGACTTATTCAACTTGGAGCACTGAAGATAATTAACTCTTTATGTCTTGGTCCTCCTAGCATTCTGGTCACTTGACTAAATGGTTAGTGCACAATTAATTCGTCATTATTAAGGATTAAATACGCACTACAAGATTCACTTTGGCAGCGAACGGGACGAACAATTCGGAGACCAAATTATTAGTTTACTCAAGATTTTTTTTGAACTATAATTATTTCTGAAGAAGTTATGGGTTTGTAATTGAAAAATGCTTGCGATACGGTCAATTTGGAGGCTCATCAACTGATTTTCTGTCCTCAATCTAGATGGTTGAAGCATAATGCACTGTCATATCATCGGATATCCAAGCTCATTTTGATGTCAAGAGGAAACCTTGAGTCTATAAGACGTCTTGCTGAGTGGTTGAAGTCAGTAAAGGTGAAAGGAGAATTTCTCGGGGTTACACTTGTGAATGCTGGAGATAATATTCTTGATCGCAGCAATGGGGAACTGGATGGGATTGTAGAGTATTTAGAGAGCAAGGGAGTCAGGAGGGATTGGATGGGTTATGTGATAAGTCGCTGTCCTCAACTGCTATCTTACAGCATGGAAGAAGTAGAGACTCGTGTGAAATTCTACTTAGATATGGGCTTAAATAATCATGATTTTGGCACAATGGTTTTTGATTATCCTAAAGCTCTTGGTTACTATACTCTAGAAGAAATGAATCAGAAGGTAATTAGATTCTAATGCACTTTATGAACCCTAAGATACTTCTCAGAACATATCTTCATTATATGCTTTGAATTACAGTATTTTTCTTGTTTAGGAAGTAGGACCAAGCCAAATATGAGGCCAGAGATAATTTTCTCAAATTTAATTTAAGATAGTTAGAATTGGCAAGCTTATACACAAATTATGACATTTTCTTAGTAATTTCCAGGTTAATTACTTGAAGGAGTTTGGGCTCAAAAGTGAGGATGTTGGCAGATTGTTAGCATTTAAGCCTCATTTGATGGGATGTAGCATTGAAGAAGGATGGAAGCCTCTTGCTAAGTACTTGTATTATTATGGGGTCACCCGAGATGGTATGAGGAGAATGCTTATGATCAAACCAATGGTTTTTTGTATTGATTTGCAGACAACTATTCTGCCCAAGGTATGTCATCTCCACTTTAATCTGCCTCATGTTTGAAGCTGAAGTCTAGTAAGGTTTGTGATATCAGCTACACAGGGTTGGTTCCCCCATTCGCCCTCATGAATGATGATATCTTACTCATTCCCTAGTGCATGTATGACGGATTCAAACATATATTTATTCAAACGATTTCTGCTGATAATAATGCTGATGACAGATTACCTATTCTTTTATCATGCAGGTAAAGTTTTTTCAGGATATAGGGATTCGAGATGATGCAATCGGAAACATGCTTGTGAAGTTTCCTACTCTGCTCACATACAGCCTCTACAAGAAGATTAGGCCAGTGGTTTGTCTTTTTCATCTGTGCTTTGGGATTTATCACCATAATCTATTTTATTTTCGGCCAATTCCTTACACTGTCAATAATGGAAGAAAAATAAGACTTCCTTCAAGTTATGTTTTCGGCAAGAGCAGTTAAGACTTCACTAGTAAAGGCCATTTAAGGACTTTGTAGGAGCAGTGCTTGTAGAGTGATCAGTGTTTTATCAATAATTGATTCTCAAGAAATTGGTATGCAGATCTATGCATACAACTGTGAGGTGGACATCTAGTGGCATGTCTTTAAGTTCCATAACAGTTTGCTTGGTGTATGTGCACTAGGTCCACCTTAGGATTCTCCCTAATTTTATATTTTCCTATTAGTTACACTTGAGTTTGATTGAGATTTGTGCCGAGAGAGAGATACTGCTCTCTACATCCTTTCAAATAGTTATTATCTGTCGTGAATTGATTAGTTCACTTGTCCATAATTTGACTAATGCTCATTTGAATGCCATATAGGTCATATTCTTGATGACCAAAGCTGGGGTCAGCGATGAAGATATCGCAAAGGCTATTGCTCTGGGACCTGAGCTCTTGGGATGCAGCATAACGCATAAGCTTGAAGTGAATGTAAAATATTATCTGTCACTTGGTATACGGCTTAAGCAACTGGGTGAGATGATTGCGGATTTCCCAATGCTGCTCAGATACAACATAGATATCCTTCGTCCCAAGTATAGTTATTTGCGGCGAACCATGGTCCGGCCTTTGGAAGATCTCATCGAGTTTCCAAGGTAAATATAGAAAGATAAAGTTAAGGCAAAGTTTTGGTAGGTTTTTGTCTTTCAAGTAGCTAAGCCCCTCATTGTTGTCAGGTTTTTCAGTTATTCTCTGAATGGTCGAATTATTCCAAGGCACAAGGTTCTGGTGGAAAATCGGATTAATTTGAAGCTGCGTTACATGTTGGCTTGTTCTGATGAAGAATTCAGGAAATTGGTTGACTCTGAAATTAGAAAGCGACAAACACTGCTATCTGCAGGCAAGAGTGCTGATATTACGGAACCTCACAGACGAACAACTTGATGGCTTTCTAGAACATCAATTATTGGTTGAGTTTGTGTGAAGCGAAGCTAAATAATCAGATATCCGAATTAATCATCACCCTGCATAGAAATGCCGGTGATAAATGATATATTTTTAGCATAGCTGAGATACATGATGCAGGAACTTCTTAGTAGAATGAAGGAACAGGAGATCCCACATCTTAATGAAACGGTGAAGAGTAACGATGAGATGGTTGAGGTAGGCTCATAACTTTGCTTCCTCAGAGCAGATCAAATAATAACGAGCATGGTCATTTTTCTTCTTGGTATGGCTCTCCTTTTCTGATTGGTCATTCCTTTTCTCGTTTTTTCAGAGGAAGGGGCATATAGCTATATTGCACAAACGCGTGTAGGAAAACAATTCGATTAGTTCAAATTAAGGAAGAACATAACTCTCAATTATACCTTGCAAAGAATAGTTGGTTCTACTTTATGTTTTGTTTCTGTAATTTGACACATCCAATTAATAATAAAATGACAGATCCTGGTCGTTGAGCCCCAAATGCTAATTTACGTATAAACTACAGTCTCGTCGAGATGGTGGATAGATGTACAAAAATGCTGTTACAATCAATTACAGCGTCTCGATGAAATCTAGCGATACAAGTAGGCAGGTGACATCTGAGAAAAATTGTAAACGACAAGCGACAATCTGAAAGTAGAAACGTCGAGTTTTACTCAATTCCAAGGCGACAGATTGGATTTCTCTTTATGAGACCAAGATCCACCTGCAAGAGAAAATACCAAGTTTAGGGCATTGCATCATAAGCTTTTAAGTATCTTTAAATTGAGATGGAAAGGAAAGAAATGACTGCGCTTTAGACAATTCCCACATAGTAGGGATTTAAGTCAAACATTTATTTCTTTTCCTTTTTTTTTTGTTTTAAATTCTTAATTATTCGAACACATAATGAAGAAATGGTATTAAGTTATTACCTTGTGTCCAAATAGATCCCTGATATTATCTATTCCGTATAGTATCATCGTTGGTCTGACGTCAAGGAGGAAATAAAAGTAAAAATCATTACACAGTAATGTCCAAGTAACATATTATAACTAAATATATTACAGTTCATTACATTCTTTACCTCAAAACTGAGACCCCAACACAAGAATATAAGTTTCACGTAATATCTTGGCTTTTGGAAAAATGATTAATGAAGAATGAAGGGCGTCAAATTTGTCTAACCTTTCAAGGGAAAGACCCCAGGCGATAACCTGCACATCTTCAGGGAGTCCCATGGGACGCAACATCTCAGGTCTGAACATGCCAGAGTTTCCTACTTCTACCCATTTTTTAAGGCCTTCATGATAACTGATGGAATGAATAGACAAATGTTAACTTCCCAGAATAATAGCAGAAGTACCTAATAACCCCACTGCCTGAAGACAAACTAATACCTGAAAATCTCCATGCTAGGTTCAGTGTATGGATTGTAAGCAGGCTTGAACTTCAGCTTAGTCATACCTGAACCCAATATCACGGGTAATAACGCTATTAAACTCTATTTTTCTCAAACTTGGCAACGGGCTACATGAATTTTCCAGGTTACGCCCGCACTTAAAAGACACAGGCTTGTTAAAAAAGAAAGCACTACCCATGCGTGAGAAGAAATCATACAAAACTCCAATCAAGTCACGAAGGGTGAGTCCTCGATCACAGACAAGTCCTGAATCCAAAAGCAAGAGAGTAGAGAGTAGCAAAAATAAGTATATGACCTTTTTTGGTATATCTACAGATGCAAAAGAAGTTAGACCAGAGGATGATAAGGGTATTTTACATGATGGGATAAAAGTTGAGCATAGATGCACCGGCTTCAGTGCCAAGAACATACCAATTTGTACGGAGGTTAAAATGCTTTCCAATAAAATTTATTACACCATCCCAATATTGACTGATGTGCAAAAAATTTGCTTGCCCAGGAAATAAGTCAGCTGATAGATATATGCATACCTTCAATTTGGTGAAATTCAGCAAGATGAGTTCGATCGACTGCTTCATTTCTAAATACACGATCTATGGAGAAATATTTTTTTGGAGCAAATGGTTTCTGCAAAAATATTGGAATGGGAAAAACTACTGCATTAGTTTAGAGAAAAACGTGAAAAGTGTAATCACTTTATTGATGGCAAAAAAAAGGGGAAAAAACGAATCATATAAGCAAAATAGCTTAAACTTGCTTAAAACATTAATAAATGTCACTTGAAAAGTTTGCTCATGAAAAATCATGGCAAAAAGGACAATAGTAGGGCATGATGCCTCAATGAGTGAATAGCACAAAACAGTAAAATTGTATGTACACAAAAGAACATGATAATAAATTCAGACACTGGATGCGAACCTGTGCCAGCTGGTAAAGCATCCTAGAGGAAACAGCAGTTGTGTGTGTTCGAAGGATGTTTTTGTTTGCCTCCTCTCTTTTCCAGTCATAAGCATATCTGCCAGAAATCAAATTGCACGGCTTTCCTCAGAAAAATCAGCAGAATTTCTAAATGAATTGTTATATAACCTATAAAGAGAACTCATTATGAGTGTTCAAGAGGTAATACCCCCTAGACCCATAACCCCCAACTTCATGAACGTCCTTCACTCTCTTAACATAATCTTCAGGCAGATCCTTTGCTGTTGAAGGAGCTGCAAATTGATGTTGGGCACAAAATCAGGATAAGACGTAAATTTGGTTAGAAAGAAAAATAATAAAAGTCTGTTTCACAGACCTAATAAAAAAAATGTGTCATGAGAATCACGAGCTGGATGTTGTTGGGGCTGGAACAACGCATCAAAGTTCCAGAAGCTACAAATTGAAACATGAATATCAGTCTACTATTTGGGTGCTATTTAAATACACAGAGCCTACTCTAGTTTGACGGTTAAAAATAATAATGTGATGTAAATGAGGAGTACAATCTCTTGAATTTTAATATCAAAAGAAAAGAACAAATTTAAGAACCAATAATCATAAATTGACTTGATTCAGAAAGTATCCATTGCTTTTAAAATATTAAGACAGTGAAGATTTTTATCGCACTTTATAGAAGACAAACCCTCTTGGGTTCTAAAAAAGTTGAGGGGCAACACTAGCTGTTGGCGGATGAAGCCACAGTTCTTGGTTTCCAATATTGTGAATTCTTTTGTTATCCTCCAGTAGTCCCATTAAAAATGAAATAATAAAAATAAAACAATAAGCGAAGAAAAGGAAAATGAAAGAATGAGAATAGGCTGAAAAGAAGCCAGCAAGCTCAAAACATTAAGATCTAAACTATAGTGACCTGAGCTTCAAAACCTTATAAGACCCGCTCCAAGTGGTTACCGCAAAAAGTCACTAAAATCTCCAGCATGAAAAGATATACATAAAGATAATGATGAAAGCATCTTTATCACATTATACCGGTTGGATATATGAAGCCACAAAATCAAAACCTATCACATGATGTTTCAGTAGTGATGAATCAACAACTGACATTAGAATGGAATTGATACAGCCCGGGGTAAAACCTTACCTGCTTTCAACAAAATTGTTTGTTGGCATCTCCTCAAACCTGTAGCACAAACCAGATTGACATTCAGAACTAATAACTAATTAAACTGAATGTATTACCCAGAAAAGACATTAGCTTTCACATGACAATAATAAGGCTTACCCCATGCAGAGGAAAATTTGTTTTAGTTGATGACGCACCTGTAAATAGACAATGACTTTCAGAATAAGTTAAATATGAACATTACCCCCAATAAGATCACACTCCAGCAATTTCTACCTTACAAAAATCACAGGGAACCTTTCTGGGACATTTTATTGATAAACCGACATTCCAAGTACAGGCATCGTTCACAGTTAAACAAAATTAAGGTGGCAATGGTAACAAATTTTGATATGCATCGTCTTCCCATTAGTAAGGGGAAGAAGGGGGAGAGGAAATGAGGAACAATCTTCTTGCCTTCAGTAGTGGATGAAGGTATCCACCCTCAAGTGGCTGACCTTTAGCACTGTAGTTGTACTCTTTGAATTCTAATTCCTTCCACTCTCCGCTGATATAAAACAAAACAACAAAGGCAGAAGTTCAGACAAAATAAAAATATCTATAGAAAAATCGTACACTTTACCAAGAGAATATTGCTGAGACACTGGCAACAAGCAACAGTTTAAATGCGAAAGTTCTAATGCATATTTTTCCTTCATTAAAAATAATACCTCTGGAGATTGTCTCGAGTTAGATCAGTGACAACTTTCTTTCTTCTCGGAGCATAGTTAGGGCCCTTTTTCACTGAGTAGCCGTTCCATGTCCTAAATCATGAGATATTTTCCATATCAAAACAGAATACAGAATCAAAACAAATGTAATATGTCTTGAAAGCTCTCTAGCAAGGTCAAATAATCTTAAGTCAACAAGAATTTAGAAGTCTGCAAGGAAATTATTATTATTACTGTGGAACAATAAGCTTCCGGGCTTTGAGAGCCTTAATATCATCTGAACCAATAACCTGAATCAACAGCATGCAGGAAAATTTTTAATGAGGTATCCAAATTTGAAAAGGAAAGCTGAGAAGAAAGAAAACATAAGTAGGAAAATGGGGGGGGGGGGGGACAAGCTTAAAGCCCACAACCAATCATCACTTGGACCTAGTAGGTGAAAAGACAGGATACTGACTCAGAACTGTAAGCAGGAACTTTCACAATAGCACACCCACCTGTCCCTCTTGTATTTTCAGAAGCAATTCTTTAACTCTATCCTCCACATGTTGGACCTGACAGCAAAATATAGACTTGTCAACAATAATTAGTGCATAGTAAAATCATTACTAGGCCAAATAAGCACAAGGTGCATCCTTTGCATCGTCACTACAATGTCATACCCGGATATAAATGTTCCTTTAGAGTAGGGTGGACTATATAGAACAGGAGATAAAAATAGAACAAAACAGACACCATACAGTAGCAATGCCATCGACCAAATTTTACAACAAAAAGCAGAACATTAGACGCATGAGTAAAGCTCTAACGAATAAGCAGCAACATTGAACTTTAACAGGCAAAATTTCTGATAAACAAACTTAGAGATGTGCAAGTGAAACTGGTAGCTTTATTTAGTTAGGTTCAGGATACTAATATGAATGTCTTAATGACCAATGACAATGGCAAGTTAGAAAAAGAAGAATCTAATGAACTTGGCCATCTTCAGATTAAGGCAACAAGTTGACCATAGCATACCTTCCGGGATATAAGTTGTTTTCCTAACTCCACCCATTTATTCTTTGCAGCCTGAGCACAGCCTATTTTGAAGGCAGCGGGGTTTAGCTTTTTCTGCAAGGAGACACCAGCTTTCAGTTTTTTTTACCAAAATTTACTGGTACAGTACGAAAATAGAAAATTCAATACAATCCCCTAAAAGAGCTATCAAAACTAATTAGTGAGAACAATTAAAGTTATCATAAATCTTCAGTGTGTGGAATAATAACCTGAAGTTCCTCTTTAGAGATACCTTCCGGCGGTATTGCCAGGAACAGTTGCACTTCAGGTGATCCTGCAGCAGCATATGTCTTCCCCTCATCCGTTAGCACCCATGTCTCCCTCTTAATGTCCTGCATGATAACACGGTTATCGCGAAGGTAAATTCGATCTAAACTATAAACCCGTCATAGAAGCTGCTTCGAGTGCAAACCATTTAAAAAAAAAAAAAAAACCATTTCGAATGCAAACAAGGTTATAAAAAGTAATGTACAGAACAGTCATCGATATCCTATACTATTTTTCATTAAATTTAGGATCTTGCGCGAAGCTAAGTTTTGCACTGCAACAAATGTAACAAAAACAGCAAGTAAACGATCATGGGTAGTGAAAGGTGTAATTTATACAAAGAACCATTGCGACAAGCTTTCAGGGAAAACCAAGAACTCTCATGAATACAGAAGCAGTGAGTGAAGCATAAAGATGGCGATGACTAAGAAGAAATGTATGGCACCTCAGCATCGACATATCCAAAACCGTGGAGGCTCTTGATGACATTAACGATCTCATTGTGGTCAATTCCACGTTCAGAAGCAAAGACACCGGAATCTGAAATTACTTCGCCCTTTTCCAGGTAACTGAGGATTGCTTCTTCTGCCATTCTCAATCTATCTCTGCGCTCCCCTTTGCAGCGACGCGGAAGAGAACGCAGGCCAGGGCAAAAACTAGACTGGGTCGGACTCCGACGGACTTTGCAATTATTCTATCTAACCTTGTTTTTATGGGGCACATATTCGGTATTCCACTTAACTATTAAACTCCACTAGTTTTGATTCGCGGCTTCTCTGTTTTAACAATAAGGCCCGGCCCAGCTCACCAGGTGAAAAGAAGATTAAATTAATGGTTGGTTTTAGGAAAGTGGAGTGAAAAATTTTAATGAATTCCATTTAAAATATTAAAAGAAATAGGATTAAAAGTTTTAACTAATTTTATTTATTCTTTTATCTTACATTTTTTTGACCCCCTAAACTCATTAAAATTTTTCTCTACTCCCATATAATTTTCTCATACGAATCATGGGTTAAGAAAAATGGGTATTGAATCCAAAGGAGGATTAAGGGGATATTGGAATGAAAATCAAATCACAATTTTAGAAATAATTTTACAAAATTCAATATAAGTATGTGAGAGAAGTTTTACCTCAAAAATACTTTTTAAAATTTTTTTAGAGCTCCCAAACACTTTTAAATTTGAAATCACAAAAAGTAAAGAGGAATAGTCCAAATTCCAGAAAAAGGGGCCGTACGGGGAATCAAATTCGAAAGGAACCGAATTTAATTCGAACTTTTATTGGCAGATCTAAATGTAAAATATGGTATGAGCAGTGTTTTGATTCGAGATGCTTAAAAATTAACTTTTTAACTTTTTTTAACTGTCTGAGTAATAATTTTATTTAAAAATAAATTTTAAAAGAGGAGGGGAGGGATGATTGAATTCCTGTTTTCTGAAGGATAAAAATAAAATCAAAGGCATAAGGTTCGAATAATTTGACATTTTTACCTCCTGGACAATGTTTTTTATTTAAGTACTGTGATCATAAGTAGAGCGGTAATATGGGTTCAACCTGCCAACAAATAGCAGGTTGGGTTGATAAAAATTAGGACCGTTTTAAAATGGAAGTTTTGAGCCCATAACCGTCAAACCCAAACTCGCGGCGGGCTAACCGCAGGGTTGGCATGCCACCCGTTTAACCATATATTTTTTGTTGCAAATTTTCCCTTTGCCTCTCAGTCTCTACACTCTTGGCCTAGTCCACAGTGCAACAATGAGCAGTCCATGTCCAACATTCTAACACGGCAACACTAAGACGGTCCCATTTTCACATTTTGCTTGCGTGTCGCACTCCTCCCAGACTCCCAACTCTCCCACACCTAGTCTCCCAGTCGCCCTCGCCAGTCCTAACTCCACGCCAAGTCCAAGCTCTCTGCTCTCTGTCTTGCTTTGCGCCTTTG